AAGCTTTCCACCACTATAACAAACACCTGAGGTAATTAACTTATGATGAGAAAAGTTTTCCTTGAGCTCACAGTCCATGGTTCTGGTCCATGATTCATTGGGCCTGCCGTTGTGGGCCTATACTGGTGGACCAAGGTGGGAGTACCATTCCTCTTATGGCCAAGACACCCCTTCCAGGGAACCCCCAATGGCCTAACTTTCTCCCACGAGGCTCCACCTTAAAGTTCCACCCTCTCCCAAGAGCACCAGAGTCTGAAGGCCAAGCCTTTAACACCAGGGCCTTCAGGGGACATTTCAGATCTAAACTACAGCACCACACGAAGTGAGAAAAGCAGTTCACAGAATAAAATGCACAATATGAACTAGTTTATTTTTTGAAAAGCCGTGTTTTTAGGTGGGTGTGGTGGTCCCTGTGATTCTAGCTACTCAGGAGGCTGAGGCAGGAGGATTACAAATTTAAGACCAGCCTGGGAAACTAAGTGAGACCCTGTCTCAAAATAAAATGAAAAGGGCTGGGGTATACCTCAGTGGTAGAGTTCTTGCCATATGAAGCCCCTGGTTTGAACGCCAGCACTGCGGGGGGGGGGGGGAGTCTTCATTAGGGTCGGTCTGACATCCAAAGAAATCAACCCGACATTCTGACATTTATGCAGGTATAGAGGTCACTTCCTTTCAGAAGGCCAGCTAGGAGCCCTTTGTGTTGGTCTCACCTGTGAAGATGGTGCCTGTCCCACCACACTTTGGAGTCACAAGGATTCCAAATGACACTCACTAGGTAGCTGAGATAACGACCTTGACCTGTCAAATGAGGGTCCCTCAACCTATAAAATGAGAATATCACCTAACAGAGACTTTGCATGAAACTCACAGGCCCCAGCATGTGGTTGAAGCTGAACAAATATTCCGTCCTTCCCTCGCTTTCCAGTGCTCAGAGACTTTCAGCCTCTGGGACAGGAACATGGGGACTTCAGATAAATGCTTGGACGACAGTATCCAATGAAACAAAACCAAATCTTGTGTGCATGTGGTCCTGGGGACTGAATCCCAGCGCATGCCAGGTAGGCACTCTTCCGCTGAGCTCAGCCCCAGCCCCAAAGTCTTCTTAGAAACACTAGTGAAGATGTTCTACTCCCTTTCCCCTGTGCCTGCCTCTGGACCTGTCCACCTTACACAAATTATTTATCTTTACATAACTAAAGTGTAACTCACTGATTCTGAAATTTAGACTATTATTTGAAATCACCTATCAACCACTTTCTACTAATTTTAATGTTTGATTTCAAATTTTCTGAACATGCCTGTAATCCCAGAGGCTTGGGAGGCTGAGGCAGGAGGATTGTGAGTTCAAAGCCAGTGTCAGCAATTTAGTGAGGCACTTAGCAACTCATCAAGACCCTGTCACTAATAAAATACTTAAAATAGGGCTGGGGATGTGGCTAAGTGGTTAAGCATCCCTGGGTTGAACTCCTAGTAACAAAAATAAATAAATAAGGGCTGGGGATGTGGCTCAAGCGGTAGCGCGCTCGCCTGGCATGCGTGTGGCCCGGGTTCGATCCTCAGCACCACATACAAAGATGTTGTGTCCGCCGATAACTAAAAAAAATAAATATTAAAAATTCTCTCTCTCTCTCTCAAAAAATAAATAAATAAATAAATTCTGAATTTGATTTACCTGAAATAAACATAAAGAAGGATGTTCCATAATTGCTCTCAGAGTGAACTTACCTAGAAGAGACGGGAATTTTTGTATTGTTGGTGTAGTGCTGGGATAGGGTTATTTGAAAGAATTCCCCTTCCCCCTCCCCCTAGCCCCCTCCCCCTCTTCCTCCTCCTCTTCCTCTTGCTTTTCAGGGTGCTGGTTGCCCATACTGTTGAGAATCTGAGAAGCACAACCAGATGCCAGTTCTCTAAGCTCAGACAACTCCTGGAAAGAGGACTCCTGGAGAGAGACTGGGAGAGGGCATTAGGGCCTCCTCTGGGCCTGGCATCTGTGTTCCCTGGTGCTCACTGTGAAAGGGCAGCCTTGGACCACATATTGTCCTGGGTGCTTTCAGGCTCTAAAATTCTATTACTAAAGTACAAACTCAAATTTCCTGTGATCAAATTCTCAGCCTAGGGCTGGGGATGTGGCTCAAGTGGTGGCGCGCTCGCCTGGCATGCGTGCGGTCCGGGTTTGATCCTCAGCACCACATACAAACAAAGATGTTGTGTCCGCCGAGAACTAAAAAATAAATATTAAAAAATTCTCTCTCTCTCACTCTCTCTTTAAAAAAAAAAACTCTCAGCCTAGAGGTCAACTTATTGAAGAGGGGAGTTAAATTGTTCCAAGGAAGTCCTCACACACAAAATAGCTAAGAAATAGCACTTTTTCTGACAGAATCTAAACATGACCTAAGAACAAATATAAAGAGGACTTAAAACTTTCATAAATAGCTGGCCTGATGGCCCATGCCTGTAATCCCAGCTGCTTGGGAGGCTGAGGCAGGAGGATTGTAGGTTCAATTCAGCCTCAGCAATTTAGTGAGACCCTGTCTCAAAATAAAAAAATAAAAAGAGCTGCAGATGTGGCTCAGTGGTAAATCGCCCCTGGGTTCAATTCCTGGTACCAAAACAAAACGTTTTTTTAAAAAATATTTTTAAAAATATTTAAAAAGATGGACACAATATCTTTGTTTATCTTTATTTGGTGTCCAGGGCCTCACAGGTGCTAGGCAAGTGCTCTACCACTGAGCCACAATCCTAGCCCCAAATACACCTAGCATTGGACTTTTATTCCTAGAATATACGGCTGCATAATCACAAAATGTAATTGATATATCTTGTTTATCCACTATGACCAGTACTGGGGATGTAACCCAGGGCCTCCTACATGCTGGAGAATGCTTACTACTAAGCTAGACCCCAGCACCTAATATTCCTTGTTTTTTGATGATACTTATTATATGGAAAAAACATAAAATTATATATTTGCAAAATGTGAAAATATTTAAATGATATAACTAACTGAATTAATGACCTTTTCCTTTTATTTAAATCACATGCATTCTGTCTAGCCCAAACATTGTTTGAAAGTGAGAGAAAATGAACTGGCATTAAGGGAACTTGTTAGCACTCGGTGTTAGCTTGACATTTAGGTAAGCCACTCTCAAAAACCAGATCACTGTGGGATGCTGTATTTCCACATCGGGATAACTCCTAGGTATTATCTATTCAAACCAAGACTTATTCTTTGAAAATTCCTGGTTGTCTGGGACACTTGGCCTTTTCTACCACCGAGTCCTAGAACAGTATGAAAGGTCTCCAAAACAGAGGCCTGTGACCCCAAGGTTTCAGCCCACCAGGGCTCACGAACCCAGCGCTCCACAGGCCCCTTAGGCAAACCGCTTAGGCCATTTTAGATCTAAGGCCTTCACTATTTCCTTTGGGGAAACAGGGGAAGAAAGCACCCGAGCATTAAGCTTAACAAACACAAATTAAGCAGTGGTGATCTCTAGTTCCAGGCAGCGGAAACCGTCGCTCAGTCCCCTCCTTCCTTATTTAGCAGGACTTAAGGGAAAATCCACAACAATAGAAGTCAAGTAGCCCCTCCCTGAGGCACTGGGGAAATCTACATTTCTGAGAGGCTTCCCGGGAGGACGCACTGAAAACCTTATTCTCTTCCAAAGCCGGGCAGTAATCGCTGAGCTGCCGGAAAAGCTGTTAAAATGCGGGTGAAAAATAGGAACAGCTTGTGGATGTAGAACTTGGGGCCGCGGATTCTAGGAAGATTGCCTTCCAAAGTCTCGCCCTGTTGGACGCTGTGGCGGACATTCGTTTTAAGGCCCTCCAAAATGAGAACCGCGGTTAAGTTCCAAAGATCAGCCAGTGTTTTAACCCAGAAGGAAAAGAAGGGGATGCGACCCTACAATTTTCAAGAAAAAGTTGAAGAGCTGAGTTTGCAACTTGCTGCAATGCTTCACAGTACAACCGGGCCTGTGGACACCTCAGACGTCCACAGCAACCGTGTAGAAAACCACCGAGTTAAGGCGGTCCCGGGTCCCGGGATGAGGCGCTGGAGGTGCAAACCCTGAGGTCCGTCGTGTTCCCACCCGGTTCCGTCAGCGCCGCGGCCCCGGGGGTCTTTTGAACGCTGGGCGTACGCAGGTCCACAGCTCGCGGCTGGTGGAAGTGGTTAAGTTTTGAGATGGACTCCACCTTAAGGCCACTCAACTGCGGACAGTTGGGGCAGTCCACACTCTTCCCTCCGGCAGCCATGGCAAGAGCCTCCTTCGCTTGGCGCGAATTACAAGGAAAACCAAGAAATATTTCAAACATATACATGTCAAAGACCTGGCGTGAGTCACCAGGGCAGGGCTGCGCAGGGCTTGGGGACTCACAGCAGGAAGCCAGGAGCCGGGATGCGGGCACCCGCAGGACACATGGACAAAAGTTAGTGGGCAGCCCGAGGGGTCGTGGGCACACCTTCTCTCTGATTGGTGAAACCGCTCAGACTTTTCTTTATGGCGTCACCGGGTACCTGCCTGTAGAAAGGCCCCGTCTCCGTGACGTCACGCAGCCCTGGCCAATGAGAGGCCTCGGTTGCGGGCCCCGAGGAGGGTTGTGGGCCCTTTTTTGTGAATGAAGCTGCACGGAGCAGCCCTCCTGGGGTCCCCGGGAGCCGCGGCCCGCTGTGCTCGGGCGCCTCAGCAGCAGCGTCCGCGGTCGCGGTGGGCGCGCGGTGACCCGGGCAGCCCCAGCCGCCGGCGGCAGCGCGGTCGCCTCGGTGCGCCCGCGGGCTGCGGACACCGGGGGGCGGGCGGGGGCCGGCGGCCGAGGCGCTGCGGGAGGGCTGCGGCGCGGGTCCCGCGGCGGCCGCGGGGGAGCGCGCGCTGGTTGCTGGGCGGCCGCCTCTCGCGGGCTCGGCCGGCGCTCCGCGTCCCCGCTGCGCCGCTGCGCGCCCGCCCGCCGAGCGCCCGCTCCAGGCCGGCGGGGGCCTCCGCGGCGCGCGCGCGCACGGGGCCATGGTCGTGGCCCCCTGACGGGCCGCGGCCGCCTCCATGAAGCGGAAGAGCGAGCGGCGGCCGACCTGGGCCGCCGCGCCCCCCTGTTCACGGCGCTGCTCGTCGACCTCGCCGAGCGTGAAGAAGAGCCGGAGCTCCACGTCGCAGGACCTGCACCGCCTGGACCTCCAGGATGACCTGTACCTGGACATCACTGGTGAGCCGGTGCGCGAGCGCGTGGCGAGCCCCCGCGGCTTCCCGGCCCTCCCGCGCCGGCTGCGGGGGCGCCTCCACCGTGCGCTGTCGGAGCCGCGGCCGCCACACCCCCTTCGGGTCCAGTCTCCGGGGAGCGCCCCACCACCCCGAGTTTCGAGCTGCGTGTGCCGCGGGCTGTAACTTTATCCGCTTCGCACCCTCCTCCTCCTGCACGAGGGACCGAGGGTCACCTTTCCAATTTGCGGGCGTCAGCTCGGCGCCTGTACTGTGCAGTGCTGCCCTCGGGCTTTTCCTGACTTCTTGCTGATCCCGCGTCCCGGGCTGCGAGAGCAGTCTGAACTCGCTGACCAGCCCGAGGACTCCTGGCGCCGGGCTGCCTCCGCCAGCAATGGCCGGGAGCTGGGCAGCGTCCCCGCCAGGCACGCAAGCAGAGTCCCTGCCCCGTCCGCGCTCCCTCCCCCAGCGCGCACTCGAGCGCTCCTCACACCTCCCAGGGGTGTCGGCCCGCGCTGCTGGGCCTCCAGGAGGAAGGTGTCACGTTGATGCATTTGAGCCAGTCAGCAGGCTGAATGCCCAGGTTGTCACTCCGGAGAAATCCCAGCCAGCCCCAGCAGGTAGAAGAGCAGCCTTCGTGGAGGTTGCATGTTCTGGTTCTGCAGTTGTGGAGGACTAAATGAAGTCAACCCGGCAGCTCTTAGGTTTGCCAGGACTGACCCCAAGTCTGCCAGGCATTTCGTGCGGTGCCGGTTCTGAAGTGCTGTGGCGGCCGCGCAGCTGTGCCGAGGGAATTCTCAAGGCTTGTTTTCTGCGGCTCGGACAGTGCCAGCCTCGGCTTGCGGGTTTCTATAAACTTTCCCGCCCTTAGCCTTTGATAAACCAGGTGGGTGGGGGTGGTGATAACATGAATTTAGTAAGTATTTAGACGTTCACAGGTATTTAATTGAAAGTATATTCTAGTAGGTGGACAGTCTGGAAACTAAGATCCATTTTAAACAAAGCTGAGAGTTCAGAGGGTCGAGTTTTTCAGCGTTTGGTGGAAATGAGGAAGGAAGAGGAAGGGGGTTCCCCTACTTGTTTTGAACTGGCACCTGCCCGGGTCCTTGATATAAGGGTGCACTGCAGTTCTGAAGCCAGCTCGCCCAGGCTGAGAAACCAGGTCTCCTTGGTGTGCACTCCTGGGGGCCCTGCCAAGAGCGGGTGGAGCCAGGGAGGTTTTTTTGCATTCCTCCGCCTTTTGTTATCTATACCTCTTAAAAGGATCTTCCTTTGATGGCCTTGTTGTTTATTTTTAGGGCAAACTATGCATTTATATGGCACAGAACACTTAATTCTAAAGGTCCTCAGGAGAGTATAGAGAAAAGTTGGCCTCACATCAGGGGGTCGGATGTCCTCTAAAAGCAACTACTGTTGCTAGTTTCTTGTGAATCTTTCCAAAAATAGACCAGACAGGCATACATATGTGTATATTCTGTACCTTACCCACGCAGCAGAGACTACAATGTGTTCTGCACATTGCTCTCTTGCACGGTATTTCTTAGCTGAACAATAGTTTGTATTGGGGCATACAAAGCTGCCTCATTCGATTTTAATTGCTTCTTAGGTCAAAGTGTATATGGTTTTAAAGAATAAAACTATAAAAAGTGTATGAACTTAAATGCATATGTAGATTTAAATGACTTATAACATATTTCCACAGTACCCTGTTGATGAACGTTTTGGTGGTTTTCAATCAGGGTTTTTTTTTTTTTTTTTGTCTTGCTCGCTTTTTATTGTGCTGGGGATCTGACCCCTGCATGTTCTGGGCAAGTTCTCCAACGCTGATTTACATCCCAGCAAAAACATTTTTGACAGCAAAGTCATTGGAGTAAATCTTCCTCCTTCGGAGATAAGATGTGGAGTGGGTAGCTGTTGTGAGGCAGTGGTTGAGGAGTTAACTTCAGAAAATGTCAGCAAGTAGAGTAGTGAGGTGACTTTGTACATTATAAAAAATGAAAACACTGTTAGATTACAAGCCTTGATAATGGAAGGGTCCAGCTCCAATGTAAGATAGCTGTTGAGGAGTAAAGGTCAACTTTTCCTGGAATGTCACCAGGTGTCCTTCAGTGAAGATCTTGGTCTTAGAAAATCAACAGTGTGATATACAAGACAAATTATGGTCACTTTGGGTGCTGAGTTCAGATTGATCTTTTACTTTAATTCACATTCACAATTCTAAAAAGCCAGGCATTATCAAATGAGATAGATAAACCTCATTCCCCTCCCCTGGTCATTTCCCCATTCAGTTTTCTGTGCATATAGAAAATCCTAATGAACCTGTAAGAACAGTTCTTTTTTTTTTTAAATATTTTTTAGGGGCTGGGGATATGACTCAGCGGTAGAGACCGCTCACCTAGGATGTGCGAAACCCTGAGTTCGATCCTCAGCACCACATAAAAATAAATAAAATAAAGGTATTGAGGGAAAAAAATCTTTAAAAAATATTTTTTAGTTGTAGAAGGACACAATGCCTTTATTTATTTATTTATTTATGTGGTGCTGAGGATTGAACCCAGTGCCTCATACGTGCTAGATGAGTGCTCTACCACTGAGCCACAACCTCAGCCCACAGTTCTTTCTCTTTTTTAAAATTTTTTTCTTTAGTTGTAATTGGCCACAATTCCTTTATTTTGTTCATTTGTTTCTATGTGGTGCTGAGGTTTATTCAGTGGTGATAGATGGGATTGAGGTATTGCATGTCGCTATTGCAGATGGCTTCAGTAGCATCCGTGTACCATTCTGCCTACATTTGTCACAGTATTTGTAAGTTTCTAAAATTTAGTGAGCTTTTGGGCTGTTATGAATAATGCTGCTACGAACATTCATTTACAAGGTTTTTTTCGGGGAGGGGATACTGGGGATCGGACTCTGGGGCACTGACCACTGAGCCACATTTCCAGCCCTGTTTTGTAGTTTATTTAGAGACAGGGTCTCACTGAGTTGCTTAATGCCTCCCCGTTGCTGAGGCTGGCTTTGAATTTACTATCCTCCTACCTTAGCCTCCTAAACTACTGGGATTACAGGCGTGGGCCTTCGTGTCTGGCCATGTACAAGTTTCTGCATGGACATGTTTTCAGTTCCTTTGGGTACTTACCGAGGAGTGTAGTTGTTGGGTCATGTGGTAACTCCATATTTTACATTTTTGTTTTGTTTTGGTACTGGTAGTTGAACCCAGAGACATTGAGATACATCCCCATCCCCGCTTATTTATTCATTTATTTATTTTTGGTACTAAGGATTAAACCCAGCCACATCCCGGCCCTTTTTTCTATTTTATTTAGAGACAGTGTCTCACCAAGTTGCTTAGGGCTTCTCTGAATTGCTAAGGCTGGCCTTGGATTTGTGACTACCCTCCCTCACCTTCCCTAGCAGCTGGATTACGGAGTAGCTGATGTCATACCTGTGCAGGGGCTTTGAGGAACTGCCAGACTCTTCCGCAGTAGCAGTGCCACCACGTTCCCACTGGCATGCACCAATTATGCCATCCTTGCCAACACTTGTTATCGGGTGGCAAAGATTGTTTCACAGTGGAGTTTGTTATAAAAAAAAAAAGTGTGGGGGGAGTTTGTTATAAAAAAAAGTTTGTTACCACATATTGAACCCAGCGACACTTAACCAGGGAGCCAGTCACCAGCCCTTTTTGTTTTTTATTTTGAGATAGGGTTCATTAAGTTGCCTAGGGCCTTGCTAAATTCCTGAGGCTGGCCTTGAACTTGGTATCCTTGTAGCTGCTGGGATTACCAGCATACATCACCACACCCCTCACTACTTGACATCTTTATGGCATTGTATTTAATGTGTAAATTGAAGTCCTGTGGATCCCAGAGTATTTCATGAGTTATCTGATCACTATTGTTTGGTATCTCACCAGCCACATTACTATACCAGGAACAGACTATAATAGGGATTTAATTCCCACTTTGACTCGATTATCCTCTCATCTCTCCACTCATTTATTCCTTGCCTTGTGCAGTGACATTTTTTTTTTTTAAAGCTACATCTCTGGGCAGTACACCATGAGAACAACATGATGAAGACAGTGTAAACTGAATGCATTAATACTGTAGGGACATGATGTAAGATTTTAGGATAAGCTGGTATTCATCAAGGAAGCCTGGGGCAAAGGAAGAAGGAGGAGAGTTTTTACTTGGATTTGAAACTTGGTAACTCAAGATGGGAGAAAAACTAAAGGAAAAATGTTGGACTTTGTCAGGTATTTAATTTTCATATGACTTTCTTTCATGTCAAGGACTGAATCTTTTTTTATCCTTTGTTTTATTTATTTATTTATTTGTTGTAGTTGGACACAATACCTTTATTCCATTCACTTGTTTTTATATGGTGCTGAGGATCCAACCCAGGGCCCTGCACATGGTAGGCAGGCGCTCTACCACTGAGCCACAACCCCAGCCCCTTTTTTATCCTTTAAATAGGGTCCTCCATTAAATGACAGCACATGTCCTCTTTTACTCTTTATTAATAAGAGGAAAAATATTTTAAAGACCCTTAATATGACTGCATAATGTTTATTTTGGACATTTGTAGGACTTAATAGTTGGTGTAGACTTTGATTTATTTAACTGTTTTATTTTTAAAATTTGTGTGGAGCCAGTCCTACTTACCTGGGGGAGGCTGAGGCAGGAGGATTTCGAAGTTCCAATTCAGCCTCAGTAATTTAGTGAGACCCTCTCTCAAAAATAAAAGAACTGGGGCTGGGGTTGTAGCTCAGTGGTATAGAGTGCTTGCCTTGCATGTGTGAGTCACTGGGTTCGATCCTCAGCACCACATAAAAATGGATAAATAAAGGTGTTGTGTTCACCTATAACATATGTGTGTGTGTGTGTGTGTGTGTATAATGTGTGTGTGTGTGTGTGTAAATAAAAGGACTGTGGATGTCGTTCAGTTGTGGAAACCCTGGGTTCAATCCCCAGTACCACACATGTGCACACCTTCCCCACCCCTCAC